AAAAATAGATAATTATGTATAATTTAACTAAAATTTTAATAATAATTAGTAGATATGCATAGATATCAGAATTCAAAGAATGCATAGATAATATTTTTAAAAATATATATTTTTGATATATCCGTATCAGCCATACATATATTAATATATATATATATTAATATATATATAATATATATATATATTGATTTTAAGATTTGATAGTTTTCAAAAAATATCCAATGTTTGGTCTCAAAACAATTACTTAAGAGAATGCAATAAATTTTTTTAGATTTCTACAAATTTATTAACTTAAAAATATACAATCCTTATATTAAAAAATGAATACAATGCATCAATTAGATATATATTGATTAGATTTGATAGTTTTCAAAATATATAATGTTGGTCTCAAACAATTACTAAGAGAATGCATAAGAATTTTTTTAGGATTCTCAAAATATTAACTTAAAAATAAATCTTATTTTAAAAAATGATATCAATGCATCAATTAGATTAAAAATTTTAAAAAGAATTAAATAAATATCTCAAAATAATACATCAAATAATTGTTTTAAATATTGAAAATTACGTATGGAAAAATATTAATATACAATAATATAGTAATTACAAAAATTTATTGCTATTTGTATTCTTGGTATCATATTTTAAAATACATTTACAAATTATAACTATAAAATATATCAACTAGGCAACCTGAGCGATGCACGAACCTAAACCTAGTTATTATTATTTTAAATTAATTATATAACTAAAATTATCATGCTAAAATATTAATTTGAAAAAGAATAATTTAGTAGTTGTTAGTTTTATAAGATTGACAGAAAAAAATATAATATAAATGTGAATCAGTTAGCTAATAATACGAGAAAAAAAATAAAAAATACAATAGGATTTAATTGGGAGAAATCATCTATTAGTTGAACCAAACACCCTTAAAAATGTTATTTCTGAAAAATTAAATTAAAAATTTATGTATCACTTTTGATTTTTAAAAGTCATATTACAAATTATGAATTGAAATGGTATAGAGAAGAGTAGGCATGATCATGGTTCCAAACCCGTCGGTTTCAGTTTCAAAGAAGGTGGAATTGAAACCGAATCGCTTGTAGACGGTATTAAATAGAGTTTTAATACCGCCGGTTCCGGTCTGAAACAGAATTAAAAATTAAAAAAAAGTTTAAATATATTTTTTTTTTCAAAAAATACCCTTCAACTATAAAAAACCACAACTGAACTTTAGATATCCAATTTTGGTTATGGTTTGAAACCTCGAACTGTGACGGTAGTTTGATTCTGGCATTGATCGGTTCAATTTGGAACCAAACCGTGGTCATACCTAGTGGTTGAAATAACTTTTAATTACTCTTTCTCAAACGAATTTTCCACTGCCCATGAAGTGAAAGTTGAGTAATTTGCACTTTTTTGGACTTGGTGTAATCAATACTAAAATGTTAATACTAACTAATTAACTAACTTTTCACCTTTGTATGTCTTTTAGTATTTAACTAATGTGTGATTCTTAACAAATCATAAATAAATTAAATGACTTGCGACGAAATTAAACTGAGAGCGCGTTTGATTACATTATAGTTGTTAGTAAGTTTTTCAGCGGATAATAGCTAATTGAAATTCCAATTAGCTGATTCCATTAGCTATATTTTAAAGTTTTTTTGTATCTATTGATAGCTGATTTTTATTTATTATATTTAGATTTCATTAGCCTTATAAAAATAACTATTAGAAAAATTATATTTTTTCAAATTAATACTTTTATTTAATTTTATTTTGTCATTCGTTGCTATACAATAATTATTATACATTCTGCATTATTGGCTTCAATTACAACAATTTCAAGCTTATCAATGATAGTAAAATCCGTTGTAAAAATCATTAAAGGGCATTACAACCCACAAAGAGAAGAATACAAATTATATTAAATGATTACATAGAAAAAAATTTGAACATGAAACCTCTAGGTCCCATTAAAATACTAATTTTCTATTAAATATATTTTCAAAAATTTAATTAATATTTTTATTTAGTACTAAAATAAAAAATAATATTTACCTTAAAATAAAAAAAATTATCTATTATATATCAAAATTTATCAAAACAATTATAACTTTAATGGCCATTTCATATTTTAATAGTAGCCATTATCAAAATTTTACCTAAAATAAGATATTTATTAATTAACTATTATCAACTACTAACTATCAGTGATTAGTAACCACTATCAACTATTGATAATTACTGTGAACTATCTTTGAATAGTTAAACCAAACTCTTACCATATGCATTTAATCTTATTGTGAGTAAAACAAAGAGATTTATATTTAATTTTTGTACATATAAAGTTGATTTTCGAAAAAGAAGAGTCAAACCATCATCATAATTGTTATCTTTACATAAAAAATTGATTTGATTAATATAAAAAATATTTTAATTTGCATTTCATTTTTATATAACTTAATGTTTAAGATTCGGAACTTTTTTAAAATCTCATATTCGAATAATGGATAAAATGAAATAAATTATTAAAAAAAAAAAAATCAAAATGGTAAACGTGAAGATATCATGGATTACAGCAAGAATGATCTACACTATATAAATGTGAAAATAGAAGAAGTAACAGATTGAATAATTATATTGTTGTTTTTAATAATTATTTTTAAAATATTTAATTTAAAAATTTAAAAGATTTTAATTTGAAAATAGATATAAAGAAAAGTAAAAATATATATTCTAATTCTGAGGTTATAATTAAATTAGAATGGATTGAAGAAAAATTTTATTTCCAAAAAAGAACAAATTCAAGGCTGCTAAAGCTAATTGGTGGGACAGACAAGACAAAGGCTATCATCAGCCACGAGGGTCGGTGGAATACGATACCTACGTGGCTTCTATTTTGTTGTGTTTTTTACCAATTTGCCATTTTCAGAAAAAAGAAAAACGAATAAAAGATAAAGAATATCATTTGCCCTTTCAAAAAAGGTTCTTTTTCCTGATAATGGTGGTGGTGGGCGCCCACCCTTTGTATGTTTCTGATATTGACAATTATGGCGGCCTAATAATTGGACACTCTCAATTTTTGTCCAAACGGCAATCATTTTTTTTTTTTTTGCTTATTTTGTAAAATAATTTCTTTTTTAATTATGAAATGTTAAAAATATTTTTCTAAAAAATTCATTTAATCATTAAAAAAAACCCTTTAATTTTATTTATCTCATATAATTTTGTAGTACACCACTAGATTATCTCTTAGTGCGTACATCTTCTTATTTTTCTATTTTCATGGTATAATGAATTGGTTCTAATTAAAAAATTAATGCTAATAAGACATAAATATTATATTCTATTTAATAAAATTTAATATATTAACTAATTTTTTGTGTGAATTAATAAAAAATATGAAGTAGACTCTGACAATTATTAATTATTAATAACTATAAATTGAAAAAATAATTCATTGATTGAAATTTTTTTTTCAATTTCTCATCAAATTGACATGATGTTGTTAGAATTTAATTGAATGAAGTTGTTAAATATTGCAAGATTTGAAGTAATAATTATATCTTGAAGTTGAAATGAAATTAGAAAATTACCCTAAAATTAACTTTTTGGATAAATCAGATGACACCTCCCAACAATACAAAACACAAGCCTTTAGTTTTAATAGTAATAAATTAACTCAAAAGAGGTCAAATAAAATTTATAGTTATTGAAATTGATAAGACTAGATTCAATAGCAACACTCTTTGGTCAAATAATCTAAACTTTCATAAGATTATAATTTTTGTTCTTTGTACGGTTTGGTGATGTATAAGTTTGTTAAGTTTGAAGTTACTCTGTTTTGATGAGTTCATAAAAATATTATTATTATTATTATTATTATTATTATATAGAAATCATGAATTGTGAATTAGAAAAAATTTTATATTCCAGCCTTTGGTTAAAACCAAAATCTAAAGGGTATTTTATTTTTAGCATTGAAGGAGTAGGATTTAAATCTGGATCTATTAACAAACTATATTTGCACTTACTACTGGGTTACGTATTGGTATAGGTTTAAAGGGTATTTTTAAAATAACTGGAATGGTTTAAATTTTATAATTAATAGAAAATTACAGAATTTAGAAACTCTCTTTTAAAATTGTGAAATTAACGGAATTTATTAAGTCCATGAATGTTTTTTTTTAACTCTTTTTTAGTCAAACGAAATAATTGAACAAATTTATGAAATGTTAAATTTCATCGTTCAACTCTAAATGATGTAAGTGAAATTTGAAAACTTTAATGTGATAATATTAAAATTATTGTTAATATTATAAAATTTTGAGACTCGGCCTAGAGGCCTAGCAACACAACTTGATGCCCAATAACCTAATAGATTGAAGTTTAATTATTCACCTTTAATGTAATATATAAAAAATCTATAATCTACTATTGTGATTCAGTTCGCAACGCAGATTGAATATGTGAGAAAAATTCTCAGATTCGATCTCTATTAAATACATCTGTAAAAAGAGACGAATAACTTTAACTATGACTAAGACCCGAGGCGAATATATATAAAAGAAATCTATTATTGACACAATTTAATAACATCATGATTCATACCATCAGCTTCCTCTTATAAAATTAAACTTTCCTAAAAGATTCGATTTTAACAATAGAGTTTTAGATTATATGGCAGCATTTACAACAGTAATCAAATATATAAAGTATATATTAAATGGAGAAAAAAAAAGCCAAAAAAAAAAGAAGAAAAATTTGGTTGTCGTTACCAAAATACCAATATTATTGTTACGATTTATTTATTTTGTTATTCTATGGGTGGCCTATATGGTGGGTGGCCCTCTATTTTAATTAATTAATTAATTTATTTATTTTGGATTTTAAGTTCAAAAAGATTTACAAATTGTGATTTTGAAAGATTCCATTTTTAAGCTAGCTAATATGCAATATAGCCTCATAATTGATTAAAGCAAGAAAATAGTAAAAGCAAAACTTACAATTACTTCTTAAACAAAACTACAGTGGTGGTTGTTGCTGATATTTGCAATGTGTCAGCTTCTGGGTTGCAAACAGAGGTTGGGATTTGGTTTTCTCAGAAAATCAATTTCTGGGTTTTCAAATTCGGGGAAAGTTTGAGTTTGGGAGTTCATTTCCCATCTCAAAATCCATGTTTTTGAGCTCATTAATAGGTATTATATTTTTCATTTCTGTGGTTTAGGAGTTCGTTGGTTTTCTTTAGCGATAAATTGGGCCTTGTGTTTGATTGATTATCAGCTTGTCAGTGATAAAGAAAGCGCCTTTGAAATCTGCTGCCTGTACTCTTCATTTTGGCTGAGAAAGAAAATTGGAAACCCAAGTTTCTTCTGAGATTGCTGGTGACTGTTTCTTATAAGTTTGATAACTGAGATTTCAAGTATACAAATCTGCCTGAGCATTTCATTCTTGATCATGCTGAAACTGCAAGGAATCAAGATTTCGAGAAGTTACACATATCCAATTATGATGTGCTAATTATTAGTGATGTTTTGGGCATGATCAAGGAGAAGCAGAGATAATTAGTTTCTGGTTCTCTAATTCAAAGAATTAGGATTTCATTTTATAAAAAGGAAACTCTTTGTGAAAAAATTTATTGATAATTCAGGGGGGTATTGTGAACGATGATGGAGAAACAGAGCAGTTTTAAGGGAAGAAAAGTGGAGAAACAGGTAAGTTTTAAACAGAAAGTGATTGAAAAACACCCCAGTTTTCGTGGGGGAAATGAAAATCAGTCGACGTCTGGAGGAGTGATGGAAAGACACCCCAGCTTTCGTGGAGCGCTTGAGAAACAAAAAAGCTTTCGTGGGTTTTTGGAGAAACAGAAGAGTTTTCGCACTGTGATGGAGAGGCAGCTCAGTTTTATTGGTGGTGGAGAGAAAAAGAAGAACAAGGACTCACCTGGAAAGCGAGGTGACTCCCAGATTCATTTGGCAGCTCGAGCGGGGAATTTGACTAAAATTAGGGAGATTCTTCAGAATTGTGAAGGTAATGAAGCAAAAGATTTGTTGTCAATTCAAAATCAAGAAGGAGAAACTCCCCTTTATGCAGCAGCAGAGAATGGGAATGTTGGAGTGATTGTTGAGATGTTGGGATATATGGACCTGGAGACTGCATCTATTCCAGCTAGGAATGGATTTGACCCATTCCATGTTGCGACGAAGCAGGGTCATCTAGGTAAGAACTCGATATAGGTTTGTTTATTGTAACCACTTCTGTTCAATAATATTTCTTGGTGAAGCACCGAAAAGTAACTGTGATTCTCGATATGAATTAAGAGAATGCTTGAAATTTGAAATGACTTGGAGCCTATTTGCATTGAGGTTGAAAACATTTTCCAGAAAAACACCATTTTATATGTTGGTGGAAAAACCAGTTTGGGAGTGTTATTTAGCTGTTTTGAAGTTTTTATGAACATAGATTGTGAAATTCGTCCTAAAAATTAAACTTTAATGAGATTTAATCAACATTTTTAACATGATGCTTTTTTCAGCAACAACTTAAACCATAATGCCATTCAGACCTTTAGTACTCTGTACGATATCATTTTCCTAAGGTACCTAACCTTGATAAGACTAGATGACCTCTATGTCTCAGCAACTTACACTAACTGCTGATAATTCCTAGCCTTTTTTTAATGTTGAAAAGTATGGATGTCTGTCTTTAGCCAGTGTTCATGAATTTCTACATTTTGGAGTAATGAAGCCTCATGTCTGTTATGGAACTGCTCTATTTGTTTATATATTTAGGATAGTTTTATTACAGTTATGTTTCTGTTTTTCTCATGTATAGCTAATAATGTGGGAATTAGTTCCTTTATTAGTGGGCAGTTTTAGTTTTGTATTAGTTGTTTAAAAGGTTGTGGAATGAGAACAAAAAGTTATCAGAATTTTAAACAAAGCTTTTTGAGTTCCTAAAACTCAGGGATTGTGGAGTTCTCTCCTAACGAGTTCTAAGAGATTGCCAATTCTCTCCAAGTCTGTCACCATATTGGTAGAAGGAGGAAACCTCATTCTGCGACACCCCATCTCAAACCTAATCCCCTAATTCAAAGACCAATAACTAGATCCAAACTTGGGACTGTAACAATATCCTCTAGTTAGAGATAGGGCTAGGTTCAAGACTTCTTTTTCTCAGATTATCATTACCTTTCTCAACTAAACTTCTTTTCTACATGTTTCTTTCTCAACTTAACCACATACTAGATTACAGTTACTCATTTGATATTGATCATTGGAGTGCAATAGTTGCTTATCTTACATTATTTTAGCATTTTGTAATCTTGTTTCTTGGATAAAAACTGAAGCATTTTTCAGGAGATAGTTAACCTGCCTTTGCCTTGTTAAACTCAACTCAACTCAGCATAATTCATAGTCCTAACTCTATTATGGTCAACTAAATGAATCTGTTTGTCTTCTATTTTCCCTTTCTAAGACCATATTTCTTTGTCATAGGTTGTCGGTCAGTTTCACCATAGTCTTATGCCTATTGTCAAACTACTGCAAGTCTGCAACCATTTTCTCTAACTGAGCTTGAGACTGGCTTTAATGTGTGTATTATTTTTAGGCAAGTGATGGGCCTGTTTTCTCCCTTTTCTATCTGAAACATAGAATAAAGTGTTCCAATTTTGAACATTTTATTATTATTATTATTATTATTATTATTATTTTGGTCATAGCTTGTGAATGTTTTTATTTTTTTGGCCTTTTAAATATTGCAGAGGTGTTGAAGGAACTTTTGCATGCATTTCCCAACTTGGCGATGACCACAGATTTGACATGTACAACTGCCTTACATACAGCTGCCACTCAAGGTCATATTGACGTGGTGAATCTCCTTTTGGAAACAGATTCAAATCTAGTTAAAATTGCCAGGAATAATGGTAAGACTGCTCTCCATTCGGCTGCAAGGATGGGGCATTTGGAAGTTGTAAGATCGATACTAAACAAGGATCTGAGCACTGGCCATAGGACTGATAAAAAGGGACAAACTGCACTGCACATGGCTGTAAAAGGTCAAAATGAGGAAATTGTGCTAGAATTAGTAAAACCTGACCCCTCAGTTATGTGTTTGGAAGATAATAAAGGAAACACGGCATTGCATATTGCCACAAAGAAAGGCCGCACGCAGGTACATTTTAATTTCTTTGTAGCTTTTGTTCTCATGGTAGAGACTTGACCACTGCTAAATATTCCTCAAGTGAAGTTTCTCTTATTCCATTCCATGAAGAAATGTCCATTATTTAGAGTAAACTTTACTGAATGTAACAATTTAAGATGAAAACCATGCATGTTTTTATTATTGACTATGCCGTCAACCTTATGTTGAAAAGTTGATGTTCATGTCTTTGCCAATGGTTTATGCTTTACCTTCTTGTTAAATATAATTTCTGAGAGGCAATGAATCTACTCTTTATTTTGTTTGTTGTACTCAAAATCCATTTACCAATTATGGTTCCTCTCTTCAAATGCTGGAAGTGGAGTTATAATTTAATGTTCCACGTGAAAGTGCTCGTCTTACTATCTATTTTCATGAGGGTTTGGTTCATGTGAAGGATTTAGCTGTCAATGATCCTTTATTATTTATTTTTTTAAAATTTTTTTGAGAGAAGGCTATAAGCGATCTTAACGACTACATCAGAAGTTTATCAAGAAGCTCAACTCTAATTTGGTTGATGAAGTACAGAATTGTCATATAGCAGTATACTGATAGCTCCTTTTGTTTGCCATCAATTCCTTCAAGGACAATTCATTTTTCTCTTTACTGAATATCTTTCATCGTGGTTACAATATTTTGATGATTGATATCTATCTAAAATGCTAGACCAAAAATCTCTCTCAGGGGAAGATTCACTGAATGAGCAAGTGCCCTTTTGCTTGCTTGAATATCCATTTTGTGTGTAGGTCATTTTCAGTCTTGCCCCTATTGAATATGTCAAGCTCGTCCCCATATTTAACTTGCACAATTTTTTAAGTTGCTCATCTACCATATTTAACTTGGCTACAATTAATGCGAGTCTTAGTTTGATGTTGGGTTGGGATGCTACTACTAGAAGAGAGAAATCAAGCATTAGATTTCACCAGTTCTTTTCTTTATAATTCTGTTTATGTCCATTGTAGAACTCATATATTTATATAGTTTTCTCCAAGTTTCTCGCCTCCCTCTCACAAACACTAATAAAAAGCATTTTCTCTATTGTGATAAAATTTTATAGAAAATGAGTTATTGAATGGTTGGTATATTACATATTTAGAAAAAAAAAATGATAATTAATATCAAATTACAGAATTATAAAACAATCATGGAAAATGAAACATGACAAGGTCAGTTGTAGTATTTTCTAATGATAATACCCTGGGGAAATCTTACTCTTCAACTAAGTTTTGCAAGGGAGACACAATCAAGGGGATCCTGCCGATTCGTCTCCTATATGTTGAAGGGGTCTAACTTGTATGATTGAAGGGGAAGCAAGAGGTAATCTACCACAATGGATGAGGAATGTAGAGGTAGAAGTACACTCTAATTTGGTTTTAAAAATTACTAAGATCTACTTGGAATGACCTGCTACAGTAGTGAAAATAGCTAGCAATAGGTCCCAAATAGGAATATGGAAGGAGTGCAGTGGCGAGTGAGGGAGAGGTGCTTCTGTGGTTTAACTTTTCTGCAGCATCTTTGGTGAATGATACTCATTAATATATTAGGAATATCTTTGGTTTGGCTAGCAAAGGCAGATTTATGTTTTTCAAACAAGCATTTCAATGTAAACCTCAACATGCACATGTACATGGACGTGATCTATTTTTCTAATTTAGGAGCTAATATCTGTACCCATGCTTAAACTAGCATTTCCTGTTAGGTGGATTATGACGAATAAATTGATTGAGGGTAAGACCTGATGCAATGACAAGTTGCTTTATGGTGACCTAGAGGTCATGAGGTCAAATCATAGAAACAGCCACTTTGTAACACAAGGTTAGGGCTACGTTCTTTTGAATATATGCAGAGTTTGTACTGCTAGAGTCTCATGCATTTGGGCACACTTTTGTTGATCGAGGAAAAAAAATAACCTCAAAGAAGAACCATAGTTAACTAAACAGAAAGCAATGCGCAGTTCTGTTTTAGGAGGAATCACGGAAGCAAATCTTAATAATAAGACAACTTTTATTTTGAGAGAAGATCCTTAACTAATCATAAGACAGCTACATACATTTAGCTTTACAACTTTTATTGAGAATTAGGCTTTTTTATTTGTTTGCAGAATGTACGTTGCTTATTATCGGTTGAGGGTATCAATATCAATGCAATTAACAAGGCTGGAGAGACCCCACTTGACATAGCAGAAAAACTTGATAACCCAGAACTTGTGTCTGTCTTAAAGGAAGGTGGAGCTATCAGTTCTAAAGATCTTGGAAAACCGCGAAACGAAGCAAAGCAACTTAAGCAGACTGTCAGTGACATAAAGCATGATGTTCAATCCCAGCTTCAACAGACCCGTCAAACTGGCTTCAAGGTGCAGAAGATTGCCAAGAGATTGAAGAAGCTCCATATTAGTGGCCTCAACAATGCTATAAACTCTTCAACTGTTGTTGCTGTGCTCATAGCTACAGTTGCTTTTGCAGCCATTTTCACTGTGCCTGGCCAATATGTTGAGGATAAAGAAGAAGGAACATCTCTTGGGCAAGCCTACATAGCTAAAAATCCAGCTTTCTTAGTGTTCTTTGTGTTTGACAGCCTCGCATTGTTCATCTCTTTGGCTGTTGTCGTAGTCCAAACATCTGTCGTCGTGATTGAACAAAAGGCTAAGAAGCAGCTTGTATTTGTTATTAACAAACTCATGTGGCTGGCTTGTCTCTTCATTTCAATTGCTTTCATTTCTCTCACATATGTGGTGGTGGGTGAGAAGTCTAGGTGGCTTGCTATTTACGCAACAGTCATTGGTGGCACAATCATGCTCACAACAATCGGCTCAATGTGCTATTGTGTGATTTTGCATAGAATGGAAGAGTCAAGATTGAGAAGTATAAGGAAAGAGAGTCGATCCCATTCTTACTCTATGTCAATGGTGTCGGAGCAGGAAATTTTGGACAGTGAATATAAGAGGATGTATGCGTTATGAAAGAGAGAAATGGACTGCATAAGAATAACTGGCTTTCTATTCTTTTCGTCTATGCTATGAAATAGTGCTATGATTCTAATGCTCTACTGGCTATGACATTTTCAAGTAAGAAGTTGACCTCAAAGTGTTGCTTTACTCGAATAATATGATGATATGGAAGGAAGCAGTCTGGTTCAGCAATCAAAAGGCAGCTTCTCATCCTCACTTTTATCGGACTTGTCAAGAAAAGCTCTGTTGACAGGTAATCTGCTGTGAATCTTCGCTTAGCTGTCTGAATCTGATTTACAATTTTCTTGAAAGCAGGCAAAAGGTGTTGATGCCTTAAGTGATATATAGGTCTACTTGAATTATATATGTATAAGGAAATATAGTGAAATGATCTTATAATCGATCTATGAAAGCTTTGGCTTACATGGTATTCGATTCTCTCCAGCTTCTTTATGCTTTTGATTATTTGAGAATGTTTGTTTGTTTCCTCAGATGGCACTACTGAGTACTGATTTTTTATGGTAAAAGTACAAAAAAGAGGTGAAAAACAGAAGAAATATTACATTGAACGAACAAAACCAGGCAATGTCCTTGTACATATGCATTACATCTTATTCAAGAATGGCTACCGCCACTGGTACTTCTATAGCTCAGGAAAAAATTTAAAGGTAGCCAAAATAGGATTACTAACCGTTTCAAGCCCTTAATCTGATACAAGTTAGCAAGAAGATTTGAAGCATATTTACTGGAATATTTCCAGAAACCGTTCTTCCAAGAATCGTACTAAAATCAGAGTGTCATAATTTGAGCCAGATGAAAAACAGATCGAACCCGAAATGAGTGAAAAGGAGACCATGCTCCATGAGTATTTACATCAAGATGCATCTATAGATCTATCAGCCTTGAATTTAGCTTCAAGATTTACGGGAATTTCGAACTTCATCACCACCTATATCAGAAGAAGAATTGCTGCTTAATTGCCTGAGTTCAGATCGGTGAGCTGAACTACTTCCTCCTCCTCCACTGCCTTGACCTTTCTTGGAATTGTCTCTGCTGCTTTTGCTTTTCTTAGAATTGTCTCCTCCTCCGCTGCCTTGGCCTTTCTTAGAATTTTCTCCTCCGCTGCCTTGACCTTTCTTAGAATTGTCTCCTCCTCCGCTGCCACTGCTGCTGCCTTGACCCTTTTTAGAATTGTCTCCTCCTTCGCTGCCTTGACCTTTCTTAGAATTGGCTCCTCCTTCGCTGCCACTGCTGCTGCCTTGACCTTTCTTAGAACTGTCTCCTCCTTCGCTGCCACTGCTGCTGCCTTGACCTTTCTTAGAACTGTCTCCTCCTTCGCTGCCACTGCTGCTGCCTTGACCTTTCTTAGAACTGTCTCCCCCTCCTGCTCCTCCACTGCCTTGACCTTTCTTAGAACTGTCTCCCCCTCCTGCTCCTCCACTGCCTTGACCTTTCTTAGAACTGTCTCCCTATCTTTGAGAAGGGTTCTCCTCCTCCGCCTGATTGGCTGCTGCCTGACCCTTTTTTAAGAATGTGTCTCCCCTTCCTTCGGCTTGCCTTGGACCTTTCTTAGACATTGGGCTTCCCTCCTGCGCGCCGCTGCCCGAACTGGATGCCTGGGCTGCCTTGACCTCTTGGTCTAGGAACTGGTCTCTCCTTCGGGTCGGCTGGCCACTGCTGGCTGGCCTTGAACTTAGTTAGAGACTGGGCTTCCGCGCCCTGCCCTACTGGCGCCTTGGACCTTTCCTAGAACGTGGTCCCTCCTCGCTCGTCCGTGGGGCGCCCTGGCCCGCTGGGCCAGTGAACGCGTGTTTGCTCAAGGGATCGGATATCTGTCCACTCACTGCGTCCTCGGCTGCCGGCGGGTCTTGACTTTTCCTTAGAGGTATGCTTGTTGTCAATTTATTGCAGTCGGGGATACGCCGAATGCGGGTGCTGTTTGCTGAGAAAGCAGGTGGCGGGACATGGATTTCTTGGTGGAGCTTTTTGGTTTCTGTTGGAGGCGCCACTGGCCGGTGGAACGACTTCACAAACTAACAATCTAGCGTGTCCTTATCGGGCGCTTGGTATCTGCAGACCAGCGCAGGGTTTGGAAAGGCTCCTCCTTCGCTGCCACTGCTGCTGCCTTGACCTTTCTTAGAACTGTCTCCCCCTCCTGCTCCTCCACTGCCTTGACCTTTCTTAGAACTGTCTCCCCCTCCTGCTCCTCCGCTGCCGCTGCCTTGACCTTTCTCAGAACTGTCTGCTCCACCTCCTGCTCCTCCGCTGCCGCCTTGACCTTTCTTAGAGTTGTTCAATTTTGAGTCGATACGCATTGCTTTTGCTGAGAAGCAGTGGCGGACATGGATTCTGTGACTTTTTGTTTCTGTTGAGCCACTGCCTTGAACATTCACAACTAAAATTACTTCCTTATCGCGTGTATCTTCAGACCACCAGTTTTGAGGGATGCCATCAACAAAATCTTCCAGAGTATGGAATTCTTCGTGATGCACTGAGACTTCTGCAAACTGCTCAGGATTGATGATGCCAGCAGTGGGTGTGACCTATATTAACAAAAATGCAAGAAAATAAGTTACGTCATAGTATATATCAATGATTAGTCCAGTAAACCGAGAATTTGCCCTGAATTCAAGGACCTGGACAATGATTTTAATGTGGTAGAATTCATTTCATTTGCAAATGAATTTCATATAAAAATTTATTTGCTAAGAATTCTGAAGTTAAGTACTAAAAGTAGAATTCATTGAATTTGTAGTCTTCCTAAGTGGTACCTCATTAGTTTAAATTTTACAGTTCTATAGTTTTTGTTTAAGTTAAGAACTTATTTCAAATTCTATCAATTTTGGTAGGATATAACCCAAACTCCTATTCCATAGAATTAAAAAGAATATATCTAATTTTAAATGAATTTTCATTTATACATGGCAATTATGGTTTTATAAATGAATTCTAGTTCATTTATTACCAAATAACCACAGAGAATTACCTCAAGCCAGCGTGGAAAGCCATAGCCACCTCTAGGACGATATACAGTTTCTTCTCCATCATCCTTGGGATGGGCGAGACCTTCACAGATCACTTCGAAAATAGCTTTCTCCTTCTGGCACTTGTTGGTAATGCACAGAATGGATGTGTCCTGGTTCTGCAGGACAATGCTGTTGGTGCTTACGATGGTTTCCGGAACATATCGCGACTCTTCAAGCAAAGACCTGATTTTCTCATTATTCCTGAGTACTTCTGCGAATCCTTGTCTCCTCACTGATCTGTCAACATGAGCAAGTTGGACAGAGAACTTACAACGCACAGGTTTATGATCACTCTCTGTGACATCCATGCAAGCCTCGTATCTGGTAGAAACGGAGAGCAAATGTTAGAATGATAAAGGATGGAAAGAGATATCGGAAAATCATACTACGAAACATACTGTACAATCGATGCTACTACAGGACATTCTAAACCGCATTCAGAAGTTGGAGCTGACTTATTGTCACGAAATATTATTCTATCACACCAAGCAGGAATACGTTTTTTCTCACCAGCGTCATACCCTGCAAAGAATGTGTGTGATGGAAGTTCCAAGCTGAAACATTTATACAGATGTACACCAAATGAAGAAACTAAAACCCTAAAATAACCTTACCTCCCAAACCAGGTTGGTTTCTTTCAAATTTGTAAGTGGGAGGAAATCTGATGAGAGCTTCACGCATTCCTTGGAAAACTTTTCCTGCTTTCATTTCTGCTCTGAGCTGATCCTTTTCTCTAAGCCAATCAAAGCTTCTTTGCGAAACAAAATCCCTTGCTTCATCATAAGATATACCAAAAAGCCGGTAATTAAAATCACCAAGAAACACAACCATATCTGCCTCAGATAACTCAGGTTTCGTGTCTTCAGTGTTGGCAGTTACAGCCTGTGAAAACACCAAGACCTTTCCAGTCACTGATCATTAGAGAGCTAGAGATTATTAATGCAGGTTGTAAAGATGAGAATAAGATACATACGTTTGCACCCTTAAGTGTTTGTGAGGCTGTTGAGACACCAGCTGCAACAGATAGGACCAATGGGAAGCCACAAATATAAAGCAGCCAAAATAAATATGTGGAGAAGGCAAGAGAGCAACACAAAAACAGGACTCGCACCATACCAGCTGCTGTAAGGTGTGATGATCGGCTGAAGACCATATTTTTATAAATGTGATCAAAATCAGCATTGCGACGATTGACTGCTTCCAAATGTGCCGCCAAGTGACAGTTGACAAAGCACATTATCCTGTCAAGAACCCTGATCCTCAAACCTACACCTCCCTGCAATCGTAAAAGTAGCCTAGCCAATATATTATGTTGAAGAAAAGAGCAATTTTAGGAGAATAAAACTTCAAAACATAGTCACAACCAAATCTTCAAAATTTCTTATTTGCTCATAACAGTGGCAACAGTTTTGTTTTCTACAACAAATGCCTTAGAATTCTCAATTTCTCTGTAGTTTGATGAAAGGGATTGGTGAAAAGAGATGGGAGAAAAAGTAAAGGCATGTGTATTATACTGTGTATTGAAATCAAGGAGGAAAGGAATGGTAAAATTAGTTTCTTCTCAAAACTGACAGCTCAAACTAGAGAAGCACCAAGTGATTGACTGAATTGGACCCATCAATTTTTCTCTTTCAGAGGGGAAAAAATGAGAGATGGATAACTGCTTTGATTTGAGCTTTTACAGAAGTCAAGTGAAATTGAGAATTTGTGTTCTGTTTCTCCTCTGTCTGCTACTGAGAAAGGACACTAAATTCTTAAGCTGGTTCAGATGAATAAAATCTAAAACCATCTAAATGTACCAACTATCTGAAAAAGATCAGGTGTATCTTCAGAACCAAGTTGTAAAGTTTCTTTTCCAAAAATAAAACAAGATTATCTGATTTCAAGTATTCTTGGATGCAAAAACTTATGAAGGTCTATTTATAATTAAAGATCTTCACATATAGATCTTCACTGTCTTGTATCTGATACAGAAGCCTGAATTGAGGCTGCATCTTATGGAATTGCTGTGTGTTTCCCACTGTTGTCAAGTTATCACCATAAAGAAATCTGTGTCTTTATACATAAAAGAGAGAGTTTTCCAGTAGGAACATATTTCTTTTTGTCATTTCCAGTGTGTTCAAAATCATGGCTGTCAATGAAGTGGTGGCTGACTGCTTCACCAGTCCAATTAGTCTAACTCGGCAAACAAGTGGTTAAAAAAAATTAGAAAGGATGACCCAGAAGCATCCCATATTGGGTTCTAAGGAGGGTTGACATATGTAGACTTCCCCCATTTTTCCAGAATGTTGTTTCCGTAGTTTGAACCCAGTACCTCCAGGTTACAAATACAGTAATTTTTTTGAACTCAGAACCTCCAGGTCACAAATGGAGTAACTTGCTATTATACCAAAGCCACGAAAACATTAAAAAAGATTAACAGTTTTCAAGGAAAAAGTTTGTATGTTCCCAACTGTTCATTGGTCTAGTCCTGATTTGCTAGGTCCAGTTCTGAAAATACTGTTGATTCATTAGAAAATAGTCAATTTCGGTACCAAACTAGTCAAACTTTTACCTGGATTCTAAATTGAAAGCTAACAAAAGCAAATTGACCATTAGCAGCATTGCAACACCAGTTGCACAACGAGTTACCATACGAATTATAAAAGCTATCACTATGTACTAGACATAGAAAAAACATCTATAATGGCAAGAAAATTCACCTTATTACCAATTGCACGTCCAAAGCCACATGGAACTGCTCCAGCATCAACATCACCAACATGTGCTCTAATATTCTTTCTTACCCTAATCAATAACTCAAAATATAAGTCTAAAAACAACATAAGAACATAGGACCATTAAGAGATAAACAAGGCAGGTTACAAAAGAAAGAAAGATGAATAGAAACCCAAAATATAATTAAAATTGCTTACCAAAGAGATATAAGCAAGCCTGCTAGCTGCCTGGAACCCATACGTTCAAAAGCAGTTCCCTCATCCAATGCCTTCCCTATAGTGTCCTGCCACCACTGGCCAATAGAGCTCCCTTCAAGTCCTACCTACAATCAGAACATGAATAGGAAATAAGATTATTTATAAATCAAGAAACCGAATGTAAGTACATACACAGGGCAGTCAGAAGTAGAAAAAGTAGAATAGAAACCAAAGTGAATGAGTTCTTGTAAATGATCATAATCTTTGCTTGACTTAAAACTGGTTGAAAACGTAAATGTTGCAATCCACTAATAAATTTATGTCAAATTAAAAGGTGAGAGAGAAAGGTAGCCTCAGCACTGGATCATAGCAAGAATTTCGTTCTACGAAACAAATGAACTTTGAAGGTAGACAAAACATTTAAATTAACCAGCTAGAGAAGGGAAATGTTAGGCTTTATATAGAATGCTTTAGAGAGAGAGAGAATTTAGAGAGTAATAATTAATACATCCAAGAGCAAGAAGCACAATCCAGAGATGCATGCTTCAACTAATATGATTTTAAGATGGCAATGAGAATTTGACATGAATAATTCATGCCATTCAATTATTATATGGAATTTTTAAAATGGTTATGATGTTTTCCTAGTATAGTTGTGATTTTACAACAAAACAAAAGATCATTTCGCTTTCAAATATTTGATATGTCAACTTGGCAGCCAAGTATGTAACTCAATTAAAAAACTAGAATCTAAGCAAACAATAAACCACCATCTACATTAACACAGGTAATCAATTTAGTCTTACAGTTTCTTTAGCAGCAGACATTGCAAGAAAACCTGCACCCATCTCTACCTCTTGCAACCCAACAACAACAATGCCAACATCTGACACGGCAGAACCTAACCATGACATAAGTGCATCATGAGATGCCCTTCCTTGACCAACATTCCATGTTCCAACTAAAATTTTTAAGTTGTGCCGTCGTGTATATGCTATTTCCTTTTGTGCTAATTCTGCTCGTATTATGCTGTCCAGAGGTCCTGGAGATGTGAGGCTCCATCCACGAATACCTCCATGAGAAGCCAAGCTATAAAGTTGACCATTCCCAACAGCCAACTTTAACACAGCACTGTTATGAGCAACCCATACTGCAATTAGATTTCCCTCAAGATCCAATATTTGGACAATTCCACTCACATATCCCACATATATCCGTGTCCCAAATGTGCAGAAACATTGAACAGTAGAAGAATGGTGAGTAAAATCTTGCAATCGAGTTCCATTTCCATCCCACTGCACAAGGAGTCCATTTGAACATCCACTCCATATCATTCCATCAATAGTTAACACCATTGCTTCTGTTCTCTTGTTCTCTTCTACAAATGCTCCTGCTCCCCTAGTGGCAACTCGGCGAACAGCATCTGCAGCTCCCATTATGGCATTCCGTGAACGTTGCAAAAAGCCCTGAGATTTTTCCTTTTTTGATGTGGAAACAAATTTTACCTTCATCTCATCTTCAGCCGGCTGTTCTGGTGGCGGTTGTGATGCTGATGACAGGTCAACTCGATTTTCAATTTGACCTTCAATGTTAAATACTTTCAGAAGCTCCTTTGTACGCGCATCCCTGCAGAAAATTAAAATGGGGACAATAAATCAGTGTAGTAAACTGCAATGGCTATAGTACTGTGCAGATTAACAGTGTACTATTATTTTAACGCTGTGAATTAAGTGGAATTAAATTACAGGTACAGACGTGCATCAGAAATACAGTAATAAAAAAACTTCTTTAAAATTTGGTAATGCTTGTTTATGTGAAAAGTGTTTATGAACATATACAATGTAAATGTGCAAATATAGAAATATTATAAACTTCATTCAAATTCTGCAATATTACATAGTTCTAATGAACATGAAATTACAATAAGCAGAATAATGGCACTATTGCCATATTGACTAGCTACACCAAGCATTAAGTTTGCCGTTTCTTTTCTTCTTTATGTTCCAGTACATGAGCAAAGCTAATAATTTTAAACTACTATGAACTAAATTATGTCCATAATGCAGCACGCATGAGTGGAAACTTACCATAGAGAGAAAGAGAGAGACTGAGCACCCCAAACCTTAGCTCTACCTTTATCAGATAACAAGCACTTCACATCTGAAGAAGATAAACTACAGGCACCGTTTACAGTGACTTGACTCCTAAGGTCAATGTGTGACCTCTCTACCAATAAAGCAGCCATGTGTTTTTCCTCTGGTGAAAGAGAGAGGGATTTTTCAATGCTTTCCCATGGCCAGATTCTAATAACACCTCCATCACCACCAGACCACATATCACCTAGATCAAAATGCAATGAATAGAAAACAAATCAAAGATCACCTAATAAAATGAATCTTTTACTTCTCAAATAAAAAAGTTTAGAAAATCATCAAAGCAAAGAAAACCATTACCAAATCAAAATCAACAACACAAAAGAAAAGAAATCTTACCACAAGAACTCATTACTACAGAATTAACAGCACCTTTGTGAGCTTGCCAAGATAATCCTTCTTTAAAAGGAACATTTTCATCATAATTCTGATCCATTTTCCAAGACCTAATTTTCCCATCTTTATGTCCACTCCAAACCAATCTATTCCCAACATCAACCAACAAACATAATGCAGGCGATGTATTAGCCGATTCATGAAACGGCGCCGCATCCTCATCACCTCTTCTAACTCTTCCCCCTAATCCACATCCTGGCTCAAATGCCTTAGCAAAGCTCCAAACTCTAACTCCACATTCTTGCCCAGCCCACAATTGCGTCTCCGTACAAGCAATGTTTCTCAAGAATTTCCCTACTTGAGTTTCCCTAAGAGGATGTGGTCTCAGTTCCAAACACGGCGGGCGGCCTGGATGAACGGCGGATCTGACCGGAGCTTTGAAAAATCCGGTAGCGCCATTTGCCGTAAATTCCGGCAAAGACGGAGTTTGGCGGAGTTCTTCTTGAGGACCTTCAACACTTAGGCATAAATCAAGCCTTTGCGAGAGGTTATCTTCACGGCCACTGCCGCCCATAGCGTTATAGGCAGGAGAGGCTATAGATGGTGACGCGTAATGGAAGAATTCCTCTTCGGAAGACTCCATAGTAAAGTGGTCAGAGCTGGTGGCAGAAGGTGTTGCAATGTATTCGAGGCTGTGTTTTCTGACTGGATGGTATCGTTTTTGGCCGGAGTTTGATCGGAGTTGTTGGCTGTAGGAATGCATCTTGCGGCCTGGCGGTGGGATAGTGCCTAGTCCCGCCAATGCTTCTTTGTCTTTGTCTTCGTCTTCGACAATTCGATCTTCCATGGCTGTTGGCGCTGGTGTCGTTTGGGGATAAGAATTTGTTTTTGGAAAGAAAGAAAGAAAAAGGAAAAGGAGAAAATGTGCAAAAAGAAAAATGAGAGAGAGATAGAGAAAGAAAGTGCGGAATGAAGAGATCCATAAGAGAAGGAAAAGGAAGCACAGAGAGCCAGAGAGAGAAGAGTTAAGCGCGGACGAGTAAGGCGGGGGATCTTGAGGACTGTATGGTGAGGAATTTTCAAATTTATTCATATATATATTATTCTTATTCTTATTCTTATTATTAAATAAATCCAAAGTCCTATACCAAAAACATTATGTTAAGTTTATTTTCTCAATTTAACTATAAGACAAATGTCATCCATTTAATAATATAAGTCATTTTTTTTATGTCGAAAATAGTAAATTCATTCACATTGAAAAAAAAAATAGTAAATTTGTAAAGGAAAAAAACGTTTTATTTATGATTTAACAATTTAAATAAAAATCAAATTATAGTTAATACAACACAAATTATAAATAAAAATAATTTGATATATATATATATATATATAATGTTTAATTTTTTCACTTAAAAAAATTTGATTTTTATATATTAAAGAAACTATCACCATATGAGCCTTGTATTATTTGAGCCGAAGACAATCGAAGTTCAATGGACCTTCGGATACCGGTAGTTATAGACGGAAAAAAAAAATGGTCATTGTACTTTTTTCTATAAAGTAAAAAGAACTATATATGTTCATAATCAATTGAAGGGAGCAACTGTGTAGCTTTTATGGACTTGATGAATATGATATTTCATTCTTATTTGGATCAGTTTGTGGTGATATTCTAAGACCAAGGAAGAGCATGATCAATATTTGAGGATTATATTACAGACTTAGAGAGAGAAACAGCTTTATGCTAAGTTTAGCAAGTGCGAGTTTCGGCTTGATGAGGTAGCATTTTTTGGACATGTGGTTTCAGCTGATGGTATTAGAATTGACCCAAAAAAGATTGGAGTAATCCTTGATCGGAAGTCGCCTGAGAAAGCTATAAAGGTCAGGAACTTCTTAACACTGGCTGGGTTTTACAGACGGTTTGTAAAAGAATTTTCATCTATTGTCGCTCCATTGACTAAGTTGTTGCACCAGAATGTCAATTTTGAAAGGAATGACAAGTGTCAAGCAAATTTTAAGAAGTTGAAGACGATGCTTATAGAGGTGCCTATCTTGACACAACCTATATCGATAAGGATTATGTGGTCTTCAGTGATGATTCACATAATGGACTTAGGTGTGTGCTCATGCAAGAGGATAAGGGAGTTACTTATGTTCTAGACAACTTAAACCTCATGAGAAGAACTATCCTACTCATGATTTGGAGTTGGCAGCCATAGTTTTTCCATTGGAGATTTGGAGGCATTATTTGTATGGTGAGAAGTGTTATATCTTCACCGATCATGAGAGTTGTAAGTACTTACCTAGTTAGAAAAAGTTGAATTTAAGAAAAGAGATGTATGGAGTTATTGAAGGACTATGATTGCATCATTAGTTATCATCGAGGCAAGGCTAACGTGGTAGTAGATACCCTAGCAGGAATTCTTAGTTGTTTTAAGAGCATTGAATTCTAATTTAACTTTGATGGTTGATGAAGTTATTGAGGCTGAGTTGAGAATTAAGCTAGTTTGCTTTAGCAAGTTCGCGAAGCACAAGAAAAAGATGAGGAAATAGCCTTATGGAAAAAGTTGACTCGATAAGGAAAGAAGAAAAGATTTATGATTAAGGATGATGGTTGTTTATACTTTGAGAATAGAACCTATATACCTAAAGTTACACAGTTGAGAAAGAGTATTCTTAAAGAAGCACATTGCTATTCTCATGTCATGCACACCAATATGTACCAAGATTTGAAAATGCATTATTGGCGACTGGCTTTTAAGAGAAGTGTAGCAAACTTTGTTGCAAATGCTGAACTTGTCAACAAGTGTAAGTAGAACATTAGGTTCCAAAATGTTTTCTACACCCTATTACTATTCCTGAGTAGAACTGGAATATGATCATTATGTACTTTGTTGTTAGGTTGCCTCTCACACCTAAGAAGAAAGATGTTACTTGGATGATTGTGGGTAGATCGGCTAATTTGACTCATCTCCTTCCTGTGAGAACAGATTATACCCTTAAGAAATATGCAGAGTCGTATATTGATGAGATAGTATGGTTGCATGGTATGCCTATCTCTATTGTCAGAGACCTGAGATTCATATCTAGATGTCATTTATAATATCCAATAGATGTCATTTGTAATACACCACATAAAATAAAATCAATAATAAAAGAAGAAATAAATGAAATAAAAAAATGCTAAATGACGGTTACTATAAGAGAGAATATGCAACTTACAATTATTTTATAATAAATTATAAATGCCCTTCAATCAATTTTATTTCTACGATAAAATCTACAATAATTTTAGTTAAAATTATATTATGCCATTTTAAAGGGGTTTTGAAAGTGAAATTTTTTATTTATTCTATTAAAACAAAACCAACAAAGTCTATAAAATTTATCAAATGAAAATAAATTAATTAAAAATAAAAGAAAATCCCTCAACTAGTTCAAATACTTAGATTCACATATTTTTTAGTAAAATTGAAAAAGAAAACAACCACAACTTTTACCAAATGCATTCAAGACAAAAAAAAAAAAAAAAAAGACAAAAAAAAAATAAAAAAAAAAAAAAAAGAGATCCGGAGAATAATTTTTTACAGAGAATTAATAAAAAAAAAGTAAAATTTGAGAAAAAAAATGAAAATGGAAATTAACCCTTGAATGAGGAAAAGATGTCATAGCACGGGGAGCTTTTGTGATTATCCACAACACATGTCATGTGTGGTGGCAATTGCATGGGAGGATAATGAGGGGGTGAAGAAGTAAGTGATCATGATCCAACGGCTTGCGCTAAGTGAGAATCGAAGATATTGTTAAAGTTACAGCTACAACTATTGATGCAAGTGTTGTTGACAATTTTTGGAGGTATTTTGTTAAAGTCATTTAGATTTTGTTGTAATCAAGAGTAGGTGAACTACCCTTGTCTTTTAGTGTTTGGTGAAACAAACCTTCCTTGACTTATGTAATCGTTTGTGAAACAAATCTATTAACTACTCTACTATAAATGTTTAACATTATGCTGTAATGAATTAATAAGCAAATTAATTATTTCTTCACATCACAAAATCTGCAGCTTTTCTCTTTTTCCTGCAGGAAATTTCCTTCTCTAATTTTCTGCTCTCTAAATACCAACATCAGTGGTATCAGACAACACTTTATCTCCTAAAAGGGCTGTGTGTGTTTTACCGAGTGAATTTTCATTTAGAGAACAGCCACCAAATTAAACAGATTTGTGAAGTTTTTCTTGTTTATTGTTTTTCCTCAAATTGGCTCTCAGCAGCATGTCTCTTTCACCACCCATTTTAATGCGTGAAACTATCAGTTTGTGGCGTGAAATGAGAGCTTATTCAAGGGCTTGCATAGCCAGATGTGAGAACAACAGAGTACCCCACCTCTTAATCAAAATCCAACCCGTTCAGCAAGATTAGACAACATGAAGAAGTTGCTAAGGCTCCAAACGCTCTTCCGTATATCCATGCAGCTGTGCAGATCCTATTCTTCACCAAGATTCATGACTATGTGAGACAGCACATGAAATCTGTGGAGAAGTAAAAATGCAGTATCATTGATCTGAAAAAACCTGAGACAGATGCAAATTCAATTTAAAAATGAATTTAAATGTTGGAAAATGAAGGAAATAAAAGGTAAAATTTGTTGATAGAGTTATGAAAATTGTTAAACTCAAATTCGATTGTTGAGAAGAGTTAGAGAGAAGAATTGTGGAGAAATTATGTGTAACTCTCCCCTCCCTGAAAAATTTGAAGCCAAGATTTCTTCTCTTGAAGATACTTGGGACATGTCACAAATATCATTGAATGAGCTTTCAAATGCTCTACAAGCTTTAGAACAAAGAAAAGCCTATAGGGAAGAAGAAAACATTGGAGAGAAGGCTCTTCTAGTGACTCAACAATCAAAAATGAAGAAGAATTTCAGAAAAAAATTGGAGGAAGGACAGATTTCCACATTGTCCACATTGTAAAAAAACAAACCACACTGAGAACTACTGTTGGTTTAGACCTGGAGCTCAATGTAAGGTTTGTAAGCAATTTGGTCGCACCGAGAAAGTTTATTCTACAAACTAGAATAAACAAACACAAGCCCATCATGCACAAGTCACCGAAAATTCTGAAAAGTAGGAAGAACAACTATTTGCTGCAAAAGAAATCAAAAAATGCGATGTCTCAATTGAAGCTAAAGAAGCATGGCTTGTTGATAGTGGCTGCACTAACCACTTGACACCAAACTTGGTGAATTTCGATAGCTTGGAACTAACCACACACACCAAAACTTGGTGAATTTCGAAGCTTGGATTTATCAACCTCTATTCTTCTCTATATCTGATATTTTGATGTCAAAGCACAAGAAGATTGATCTGTACAAACTCCTTCAGTACAAAGCTTGTTTCCGCATTTCTTTATGTACCGGGAACGTAAATCAAGTCTTTGTTTCGGTGTCCCTTCAATTACTGGATAAGAATTTAACATTGCTATTTAAATAAAAACTTGTTGAATAAGTGATCCTTCTGCCTCAAAGTTATTTGCTGTCAAAATGAAACGGAGAAGCTTCCTCTTAAATTTAAGAGACTTCAAAAGAAGATATCTTGCTTGAGTCATAAAGAAAATCTGATTTGTTGGCCATAAGAGGACTTGGTCACTCCAATTCTAATCATTTAAATTGCTACAATCCAAGAGTGTTTTGCTGTTGCCATCTATAGTTGAAGAAGACAGCTGTAATGTGAAATATGCAGGTTAGGCAAACTAGCCAAACACCATTTTTCATCATCAAGCATGGAGAGCTTCTATGAAACGTGAATTAATATCAACCACTGAGTGTTGGCCCTTATGAGTATCTCATCTTACAATGGCAGCAAGTATGTTCATTGTGTTATTGATGACTACACCAGATTCTCTGTCTGGTATATTTCCTCCAATTCCAAACTGAAAGTATTCAAAATGTTCTTGAAGTTTTAAATCTAAGGTAGGAAATCAAGCTGTGCTTCCCCCAATCAGATTTTAAGATCTGATGTTAATGGGCTGATTTACTCCAATCAATTCAATCAATATGCAAAAGCTGCA